TCGGGCACCGCCTCCATGGGTGAGAGCGGCGGGGCGGGCGCGGGTGGGGCTCGGCGCGGGGCACGGAGCGCGGCCTTGCGGGCTAGGGCCGACCGCCGCCTGCCCGCGCCTCTGCAGGGCGGCCTGGGCTGTCCGGGGGGAGGGGGAGCCGGCCCTGAAGGGCAGCCTTGCCAGGTCTTCAATATGAAATAATCGTTTGGGAAGTTCAAGTAGTCCTTTTTTCTGAAAAACGAGCGTACGCTGAGAAATATACAAATAAGCATCCGAATAAGTGGTCTTTTTCTTTACTTTCTATTGCTCTCTGTAAGTTGTCAGCGAGTGAGAGAGGACTGGGTCATCCAAGTGGAAGCATGCCTTTATTTGGAGGCCAGCAGTCCTAAGAAAGTGCTGACAGCAAGCCCAACAGTCAATTAATTGACTCTCTGAGAGTGACTTGGGTTAATGAGCTGCCTCACAAATGATTGTACGCTTTGCACGTTTTTACTATCATTGGTTATACCAGATTTGAAATTATCCTATGAACATGATGATTATCGTGCATCTGGCAACACTGGCCTGGGTTGGCTGTGGAGGGAGTCAGCTGTAGGGAAGGGGCTGTCCCCGGCTCTCAGTTCCTTGCCTTTGGGAGGCAAGCTATGTGTTCGCAACCCAAAAGGAGGGTCCAGCCGCCTGGGAAGGTGCAGGGTGGCTGCAGTTGTAGCAAGGTTTGCAAAGATTTGGCTGAATCTTACCCCATCTGGCAGCAGCAGCCCAGAGACCATAAGCTTTCCTGGTCTGCTCTGGTTACAGACCCTTCAGGCCAGCGTTGTCAGGTCTTAATGTGAAACTATCAGCTTGGAAGCTCAAAATTATTGTATTTGCTGAAAAACTATTGCACACTGAAAAAATACTTTAAAACATGTAAATAAGTACACAAATCTTCTTATTTACTTCGTATTGCTTACTCTAAGTCAGCAATGAGTGAGTGAGAACTGGGTCATCAAAGTTGAAGCATTTCTTTATTTCGAGGCAAGCCATCATAAGAAAGTGCTGACTGCAAACCCAGAAGTTGGTTAAGATTCCCTGAGAGTGACTTGGGTTTTGCATATTCTGCATCAATGAGCTACCTCAAAAAATATTGTAGATTTTAAACACTTTTACTGTTGTTGATCGTACATCGCACAACAGGTGAAATTATTGTATAAATACAATAATTATCGAACACCTGGCAACACTGCTTCAGGCTGAAGGTACCAGCACCATAAAAGGAGCTGGGCATGGTGAGAGCTGAAGGGAGGGCACCAAATGCTATCATTCCCAGTTCACCTTGGTCTTGCCCTTGTTTCCAAGGTGCCATCAACATGACATCCTGTCAGAGAAGAGAGGCAAGCTACCACACTTGGGGGTGTGGTAGGTGATAATCAGTTTGGCAGGTTTCACTGTGAAAACTGCGCGTAGACGTTACCCATGACAAGGTAACTTGCTTTTTCCAGCCTACTTTGTCCACAAGGAAGGTGCTGTCACATGGAGCTGGTTGAGTGCTCCTTAATTGTTTGTTTTACATTGAGTACATTGTTTCCTAACCCAGGGTTTAGGAAATGTATCTGTTTAGGCAACCTGTCTTTCAGAATGGAGTGGGTGCCATCCACTGTCAGAGGATGACAGTTTCTTGCCCTAGAGATTGTGCAGCTGCTTGTATCTCATAACATACAGACTTTTACGTAAAAGCATTGTTCTTTGTTATAGACACCATGGCAAGCCCAGGAAAAGATAATTATCGGATGAAAAGTTACAAGAACAATGCACTCAATCCTCAAGAAATGCGTAGACGAAGAGAAGAAGAAGGAATCCAGCTTCGGAAACAAAAAAGGGAAGAGCAAGTAGGTCTCTTACTCTGAAACATAGTAAACATGGTCTGTTAACTAAATAACTGAATATTTGTGAATGTAGATCGGCATCCACAAAGGGTGTTGAGATGCTTTTTGTTGTCTGGCCCTGGATTAAGGGGAAATGGGGGCGGCCATGCTCCATATGCAATTCATGGAGACATTAAACCACCCCTCAATATGATCCAGAGAAGACAGGAGAGCAGAGAGGCCTAACGTATTGAATAGGAAATGCTGAACACAGGGTTGAGTCTTAGTCCACTAATTCACTGAGAGAGTGATTTACATTCCGTTTTAAAATATGTTTTAAATAATATTGACTAAAATAGCAAGACTTTAAAGAAGAGGATTTAGGGTTTTTTCTTGCATTTAAAAATGTGTCAAGTGTTCTGATTTAAAAAAGAATCATACAAGCTAAAGTGTAGCATGAGTGAAGCCATTGCTGTTTGTTCCATTATGTACATTATGGGGATGTTTTGTGCATCTCCTTCAAAATTCATAATTTTTTTTTTTTGTAAGATCCCCATTTGCTTCAGTGATAGGAAAGGTGAATTGTTGATTACTTGTTGAAACTTACTTTTTTTTCAAACTTACCAAAACATCTGTAGCTGCTTGTGGCACTGCATACTTTGAATGCTTACCTTAAATTTGGGTGGGAGGGGAGGGCATTTGGAAAACGTAATAATGTGAAACTTTATCTAGTTCTTCTTCATTTAGTTATTTAAACGCAGAAATGTTTCTCTCCCGGGAAATGAAGAATCTATGGTAGAAAGCCCTATCCAAGATCCTGATGTCAGTTCTACTGTACCTATTCCAGAGGTGAGTGTTTCAGAATTGCATTTGAAGTGTGCTTTCGAAGTACTGAAAACTGCAAAGATGTCATTTTTTGAAATTTTTTTTTAAAGGAAGAAGTTATTACAGCAGATATGGTACAGATGATTTTCTCAGATGATCCTGATCAGCAGCTTACAGCAACCCAAAAATTTAGAAAACTGCTTTCAAAAGGTAAATCAGTGTTGTGTTGCTTTCTTTCTTCAAATTTGTTCATAAACACTATATCTTGAATTTATTACACTCTTCAAAAACAGAACTAACTAAAGCTTCTAACTCTCATATCACATGAATGCCAAATTCATTTGAACATAACGGTTAACATGCAAACCTTTTTTACTCTAAAGTTAAGTCTTTTAGACAAAGGAACAAAATCAAGGACATTTTGATTAGAGTATCAGAACAAATAGCTGCACACTTAGCAATCATTGCAGTACAGGCAACCCCCGCTTAGCACTCTTAATTGGTGCTGAACAAACTGGGTGTTAAGCGGAAACACACTAAGCGAAACCCATTTTCCTAGAGAAATTAATGTAAATAAATATAATTGGTTCTGCCGCTTCTTGCCGCCTGCCCACCAGCAGCTCCAGCACCACCTTGCCAGCCTGGGTCCTGTGCTTCTGCCGGCCCCCAAGCCTTGGCCCTGGGAGCCAGTGTGGGTCCTGTGCTCCTGTAACCCCTGCCAGCACAACCCACCGCCTGCCCTTTCTCGCTGCCGCTGCTGCTCCTCTCCACCCATCGTCCGCTCCAGCACCACGTGCCAGAGTGAACCCCGAGCTCCTGCCATCCTGTCCTGGGCCTGGCCAGCCATGGCCTTGGGGACTGACCCAGGCTCCGCGCTCATGCCCCCTGCCCTCCCCTTTACACCACCGCTGCTCCTCCCTGCCCGCTCCAATATCACATGCCAGAGTGGACCCTGTGCTTCTGCTGTCCTGCCCTGCGCCCCTGCCGGCACTCACCACTTCACTCAATGCCACTGCCACCACTTCTCCCCACCCCTGCACTCAGCATTATAGCGAAACGTGCTGAGCACTAAGTGAAACCAGGTAGGTATTTTAAATGAGCACTATAGCAAAACTATAGCAAGTGAAGCTGCATTATGCAAGGGTTACCTATACTTAACTCTCAAGCAAGCTAGTGTTTACTTTTGTGAAAAATTTGATTCGGCTGCTAATATTAAAATGCACTTGCAGCTTTTGTTGAGGATTGTGACGGATGCATCTCATAGAATTATAGAGAAGTAGGTCTGGAAGGAACATCCAGAAGTTATCTAGTCCCTGCCTAAGCCAGAATCATCTCTATCCAAACCATCCCATACAGCTACAGAGTCAACTCTGACACAGCCACAAGACATAACACCCTAACTTGCCACTGATAAAGCAGGGTGACCACAGCAATTGACATTCTGATGCTGCAAATGTTGTTAAACTATGCTTGAGAGATCCAACGATGTGGGCCATGGCCCACTTCCCCGCCCACTACAAAGCAAGGCAGACATCCCCAGTCTGTACCAATGAATTATTCCTTGTCTGCTGTTTATGTGAAAACCCCTTATACAACTTCCTGATTTCAGATGGAGCAGTGAAGCTATGTAGAGAAAGTTCTCTTAATATCTTTTAAAGAGTAATTTAAAGTATTGTCTATATCAGTAATAAACTAAAATTCAGACAAGTGCCCCATAGGCACAACTTTTAGATAACGTTTTAGACAGCGATAGCATTTGGAAACGTTCCAGAAGGAGGTGGTGGTATGGTATTGGCACTACCATCTGAGTTTTCAGACAGCACAGTAGCCAGGAGTACAGTTAAAGTCAAGTCTTGTGCATTTCATCCAAT